ATCAAAAGAGGTTCCAATCTTCTTCCAATAAAACAGAAAGTGTACCAGTCCCTACATGAAAAACCTGAAGATGGGATCAAAAGAGATTCCAATTTTCTTCCAATAAAACAGAAAGTGTACCAGTCCCTACATGAAAAACCTGAAGATGGGATCAAAAGAGATTCCAATCTTCTTCCAATAAAACAGAAAGTGTACCAATCCCTACATTAAAAACCTGAAGATGGGACCAAAAGAGGTTCGAATCTTCTTCCAATAAAACTATAATAATTCCTATATTGGTAACCTGAAAATCTCTGTAGAATTTGCAAAGTTCGTCTTCTAAAGTAGAAAGTACGTCAGTTTGAAGGTTGAAAATTAAGATTGCGTCTGTAAAAATATGTAAGTTTCTAATACAATAGCAATATGTTAAGTACAGTTTTGTAAAATCAATGAAAGTTTCGTCGGTATTTGAAATATTATTAATGAAATATACACATTGTTACTTCTATTCTGTTGTTCATAGAATTCTTCGTGAACAGGTAGTTTACTTACAAAATTCAGTCAGTACTGTAACGTCTGAATGACGTTCGTAATCTCGAAATTCTATCCTCTTCCACGATTAAAAGTCTCTGAATTCGAATGCACTTTTCTTTAACATTGCAGGATGAAAAATTATTCGCTACAACAACTCATAAACTTATCCGAATCTGAACTACATGCAGAGTTAAAGTCCCATGGTTATGTACGGCCTCTTCCACCCGAGATTTATTGCAACCCTGACTCTGCGTATCGTATGATAGATGGCACGTGTAACAGCCTTCAACATATCTGCTGGGGCGCTACTAACATAGGATTGAAACGACTAATTCCACCGGATTATGCTGACGGTACTGTTTCTTTATTCCTCATGTTAGAGCCGATATAATATCATTGCTATAATCGGACTACTGACACAGTAACGGATGTTTTGTGTAATTATCTTTAATATTCTTATTGTTAGAACTGATACAACAGTTTTGTATAATCAGACTATTGTGGTAATATGAAGTGTTTGTGTACTTTATTATTCCTATCGTTAGACCT